ATAACTTTTCTCTCTAAACTCTCACTTCGCTTCCTCTCAAAGAAAACCTCTGAGCTTTAAACTTGTTTCGAATACGATCTTGAACCTTCGTTCTATTGAATCACTAGTAATTTCATCTGAGCTTAATTCATCAATCTCGTCTTTATTTTTCTTTGTTTTCTCTCTTTTCAAAAAGTACTCTCCTTTGTAATATGTAGGAAGACCTTGATCTTTTGGATGATCTCTTCCACTAATTTCTTCACAAAACTATCTATTAGAGGTAAGGACAGCTTTATTCCATTACTGAGAACATGATGTATTTTGTGCTCATGAGAATGATATTGTGTGTTTCTTGTTTACAAATATGTGTTGAATGAAACTGTTAATGATTTAGTCATTTTGATGAAGTATGATTTCTTTATTCTTGATGAGTTAAATGAGATGTTGTATTGAATATATATGTATGTACATTTTTTACTGAATCTAGAGGTGTCTGGCCCTTGGTGTGATTCATGATATATCATATAAATAGTGGACTTGAATAAAACAGAAAGAGAAAAGGATGAAAAATATTATCATTAAAATGACAAATTTAAGTTACAATGAGAAATGAAAAAGAGTATAGTCAAAATGAGAAATGAAAAAAAATAAGGATAAGTATGGATAGTTCAGAGATACACTGGAGGTGTGGAAGATGGAGACGATTTTGGAAATCTTGGAGAAATGAGGATGGTAGATGCTTTTCTTTGATTTGCACGTAACTAATAAGAGTAAAAGCATCACAGGCCTCACACTTATTTCCAAAACTAAACTCCTTACCATACTTTTCCTAAAATGGGCCAGATCGGCACACGTATCCGTGTTACTATAGCTAACCAGCAACTATCTATACTAAAGAAGACCTCATAGGACCCTAGGGACAGTGAATGAATGAGATAAGGAAATCAAGAATATTTAAAAGGATGTTTGAATAAAATTATAATATTTATGGTCTTTGTATGTATATGAAATGTATTTGTTAGTTTTGATTGATTGGTGTGTTATTCATGTGTGTATTACCTGATATTACTGTTAATCATGTTTAGTAATGAGAAAAGAGGCTCATCCTTAATAAATATTTCAAGGAAGTAAGATGACCACTTTCCAAAGAAACATTAGAGTAGATGGAGTGTTTATGTTTAGTAGGTTACATTTTGCACTTAAAGAGTGGCAGCGGTTCTGTAACTCCTAGTTTCTTATAGATAATAATGATGAATCGAGTAATGTATTTACATTAGAAATGGATATATAGATTATAGCATTCCTTTTGAGTACCTCGTGGTAGGATTCAACACACACTCACTCAGCCTATATATATACATCGAGGAATGATCCAAACACCAAGTGCAGCAAATTACTTGTACATTTTTCTCTATCATGACCATATAGGAAGACCCACTCATTTCACCTTCAAACAAGTGACGGGTACCGAGGTTGTGACTTATATTGGTGATCTCGAAGAGAATGAGGACCTCATTCCAGAAGAACTGAATGAGATAGAGGGTTAGTATGGGAATGATAATGAGGATCGTCCTTAATATTTTAGTGTGGAGACAACTGCTCATTTGGACTAAGTTATGTTGATTTTTGTTAATGATGTATATGAGTCCTAATGTATTCTGGAATTATGATTTGTAATTATTAAACTCTTGTATATTAATGAAGCTGGTATACATGTATTTTATTTCAATTTTTATCTATATTTATTTATTTCTTATTGCTTTACCACTTGAATATTTTGTAAGCTAATTAACAAGATGAAGGTTCAAAATTTTATTTAATTTTGATCTATGAATGTAAGTAAAATTTATTTTATTTCCTCTTTTCAATATAAAACTATTTCACAAATTGTATCAATAAAATAAGGACGTTACAATTTGGTAGCAGAGTAGTTTTTCTAACCAAACTTACTAGTTCGTTTATACTGTGTGTTCTTATATTCTTGTCTCATAATAATATGAATTGATTGATTGTTGAAATAACCTGTTTGGTTTTCCAAATAAGGATTTGTGTGAATTGTTCGATTTGATTGTATATGTGCATTTGTGTGAATGATACTTGCTGATGAGTTTGATTGGTTTTCTTTTAAATTAGAATCATGATTTGTAGAGGTAGACTCACGAGAGTTATTAACAAAATCTTGAACCACATGATGCAAGTACTAGAAGCTTTACTACAAAACCAAGATGCGAAACTGAGTAAATATCAAGGATTATCATTGTTCATGAAGCATAATCCTTCAAGTTTGAAGGAAAATTCAATTCTGATGAAAATATGTATAGATAATCACAAAGATATACTGGGAGTGTGAAGGACAGAGGCAATTTTGGAAATCTGAGAGAAATGAGGGTGGTGGATGTTTTTTTTATTGTACATAATTTGTAAGATTGAAAGCACCACAAGCCACACACTCATTTTCTAAACTAAACTTCTGACCACAATTTTGCTAAAAGGGGGCCCCAACAACTATCTATACTTATGGAAGATCTCAAGAAATCATAGGGACAATAATTATAAAATTGTGATGGATGTGATATAGTATAGTAATTGTGTGATATAGTATATGTATTATGACATGCGGATCAGTGTAGAAATATGTTATTAATATTACAAATGTGATTGATTTAGTGTGTGTGCTCTATTGTGATGGTTGTTGTATAATCTGCGAGTTATCTATATATATATATATATATATATATATATATATATATTAGAAAATATTTTCTGCATTACTTTAAGTGTATTATAAAATTGAAAATTTAGTAAGGGGATGATGCTGATAAACGGATTGGCAGGTGTACCAAATCATTTGCAATAACAAAATAGATTTTATCATCCACTAGGATTAATGTTAATTACCAAACTACAAGAATGTTGTTAGTTGGGTTAAAAAACAGAGTATGAACGTAAAAGGGAAATTTAGATATTGTCAAGAAAGTAAAGGTAAGCTATAAGTGCTGGAAAATTAAATTAACATTAAGTATAAAAGTTAGGCATAAGAAATTAACTGTAAATTAAGCTAACTGCAAAATGTTACTAAATAAGAAAATGAAAACTGAGTTGTAAATTGATTAAGAAGTGGGTTGAGTTCATAATCCCTTAATCCTTTCCCATTGCCTAAAAATATGTAACCCAGAATACAATCCGGTCTAATGGTCAAATTTTTCACAATACCTAATACCAAGTCCTTGGTTGATTGGTTCTAAATTAGTTCTAGATTCCTAATTCCTTAGGTAACCAAAAAGATTATCAACATTAAAATTAGGAATCAATAGGACCACACAAGTGTAGATTCTTATTCCTAGATAATTCATAAAGAGCAGTTTAATCCAAATCCAAAAAATATTACAACTTTCTAGTTATAAGTTTCTTTTCATCAACCATAAGTTCTAAGAAATAGGGAAGCATTAAGCTCATAATTAAATATGTTAGATTACAGACTGCATTTGAGTTATAGTCAATGTTCAGTTTATTATAATGGACAAAAGATTAATTTCATCCTTTCTCAACCCCAATAAATTTAGCAAAACATAGCAGAAATAAAGAAGAAACTAAAATATATTGCATAAATAAACTTCATATTCAACTGAAAGCAAATTACAAGAAAATGTAAATGTAGGAATGGAGAGATGTAGCCCTACTTTCCATCAAAATCTCATACAAAAGCAAAGGAAAAATGGAATAGAAGACTTTCGTACATAAAGATGTACAGAAAATCTAAAATTCTATGTCTGAAAAGTGTAATAAAAGATGCCGCATTTAGCAGAAAATTTTGTTTTTATATGCTCCGTCAGGCTCGTCTCCCCACAATCAGTCATGCATGTGCTCACAAATATGTCCTGCGGCAATTCAACTTCTTCTCTTTAAATTTAATTGTGATTTCTCTTCTAAATCCTTCAAAAATTAACAGCCAACTATTACTAATTGAACAATTCATTGCATTCCAAATAATAGCATTTTTTCAATGAACATTCCAATTAATTTGTATTGACTAAAATATTTATGCAATGAAGTGTGCCATAAGCATTCAATTTACTACATGGGTCAATGACTCATTAGATGTTCACCTTTACAAATATTTTCAGGTAATGAAGAGATAAAAGAAGATGAATTTGACCTAGGATCACACTCACAGTGGAATTGTAAGGAAAAGAAGTGCTATGATAGAATATAGTTTATTTGAGAAATGTAATAATGATAATAATTAAGTTTTCATCTAGAGTTTATAGTATTTTGATAAACTTTGTTGTAAATAATAATTTGAAGTGCAATTTTAATATTTGGTAGTTAGCTATTCTAATTGCAACTCACATTCATCTTTAATTCAAGATTTAATTTGCCAAAAAGTAGGATTGATTATATTTAAAATTTATCTATATGTAACATGAGTTAGGAAAGATGCTAAAATTTATAATGTTAGTTTCATTCTAATTATAAATTTGGATTGCAAAATTATTTTATACTACAATGTAAAGAGTTTTAAACTTTGCTAACTTTTATGGGTTCTAAATTCATATATATGTAAATTTCTTCAAAACTATCCTTATCCTTTAATATTTCAATCAAATTTTATCTATATTTACATATTTAGTAAAAGAGAATTTTTAAATTATAAAGAAGAATTTTACATAAATTTTAAAAATATTACCGCATCTTTTTTTGCATCATTTAAAAAATTAATATAAAATCTTGTTGTAAAAAGTGTTTTTTATACTAATGCAACCACAACTATTAAATTTATTAAAATTAATTATCAGAAATATAAAGAAAAGATTTAAATTAACTTTAAAAATAAAGATAAAAAACAGTAACCCACGTTTAAAATTATTACAATTAAATTATCTTAAACAAAAATTGTCTTAATTTTTTTCAAATAATATATTTTAAATATATAAATATTATGATTTTAAAATCTATTAAAACAAATAATTTTACTAACTTATTTATAAATTATATAATACATCGTCGCATTAGGAATCGCCTTAATATTTTTTATGTTTTTATTACATTCTGGTATTGATCACTCACTTCTTTGTCTCTCTATTTCTGTGTTTACACCCAACAGGTGCGCATGTAACTCTTTTTCCTTTTGCACCGCTTAACAAATCGCAATAAAAGGCGTGTCCCTTGGGCTTCATCATTTGCCCAATCTCCTACGCTGTTTTGGATCTAATGGCTTTACTCTTGACGGTTCCGAAATGAAACACAATTGGTAAGGTTGGTTTGAAGATCATGTCAAATATACCCACATCCCTCTCTGAGATTTGCCTCACCCAATTTCGCCTTGCCATGTCCATAGCAGACCCATGGCCCTTCTCATGAACCCCACCGCACACTACCACCACACACTTCTCTTAGCTTCCATTGCCATACCCAACAGTGCTTCTCTCTCTTAATTCACTCGCCCAACTTTATATATGCTTCAAAACTTTTATGTTGACACGTAATTTACGTATTTTTAGTGAGCTTACGTCGACAGATACATGTACAAGATTCGGGGATTCAAGCTGAGGAAGCGCCTGATCCGGATCTCCAGATGGGTCACAAGGAAGATCCAGATCCGAAACCGACTTCGGTACCATCGGCTGGGTGGTCGTCCTCAATCGCCGGCGAAAAGGCCCATCACGAAGCTCCTCACGTGGGGTCGGAAGCTGAAGGCAAGTGCCAAGTCCTTCCTGACAGTGAGAGGTGGGTCGGGTTATGCCCATATGGGATCCGAGCCGGACCAAGGTGTACCCAAAGGGTTCTTAGCCGTGTATGTAGGGCAGAAGAACGGTGAGTTACACCGCGTTCTGGTGCCGGTAATATACTTCAACCACCCTTTGTTTGGGGAATTGCTGAAGGAAGCAGAGGAGGAGTTCGGGTTCAACCACCCTGGAGGAATCACCATTCCGTGCCGGTTCACCGAGTTTGAACGGGTCAAGACCCGAATCGCATCCGGATCCTGTAGAAGCCAACGTCGATGATTCGTTCGCTTGGCGCTGAGGTCATACTCCTTCACCCCGTCACGTAACTGAAAAAACCAAAATTGCTTTCTAGGAATTTTTTGCGTCGTTAGTTTTTTCACCTCTTGTTTCCAATTCTAATTTTTGAGGTAAGTTTTTGTTATGTTTCCTATTTTGCAAATGCTGTAATGGTGTGTATATTATATATTAAATACAAGATTTTTAACTGAACTGTGACGCTGATTTAGGTACATAAGTAATAACAATTTTAAAATATTAATTTTTTTTTTCATGGAAGAAAGGGGTCGAAGCCCAAAATTACTTTACCGCTGCCCTTAGAGATTAGTTTAAATTATGTGCGTATTATTGACCAAAAAGAAATTTAAGTTAATATATTTTTCCCATCGCAATAACGTAACGTTAATTCTGGCGATCATCATAGTTTAATGTCATACTTAAAATAATAAAGATGATAATGATACTGAACTGATCTTCAAAACTTGACTTTCAATTATCCTTATTGGTTTTCTGTTTTTAAGATAGCTTTTAATATATTTTACGTATTGTTAAATTCTTTTGAATTTATTAGATAATGTGTAAATATTTTCATTTAAATTTATGCGTTTCTTTAGAAATTTATATAACTAAAATTTAATTCCTTTTAATTATGTTAAAAATGAAACAAAGATAAATTCTTCATAACATCAAAATTTTAAATAAAAAATAATATTTTTTTCAACAGTTAATTTTTTTTCTTCAACTTGCATTTTCGAAATGTTCATCTATGTTTTAGTTTTTTTTATTATTATTATTCAAATTGTGAGTGCTTCTAAATAAGAACGATTTTAGGAACAGTATACTGTATGAAAGTTACTTTTGCGTTGAATATTTATATTTTAATTTATAAAACTGATTCAATTTCAAAATTTTCATATCATTTAATTTTAATTTTAAAAAACGGGAATATTTGTTTTATTTAGTTATTTGATTTCTTGATTATCTTTTTGAAAACTTTAAAAATAGATACTTTATAAATTCAAACATACATTTTGAAAAATTTTAATAATATATATATATATACACAAATACACACACATATATTTAGAAATGATATTAAATTATAATAATTTTAAGAGTTAATTTTCTTTCTTTTTATCTCTTAATGTTTTCTTTGAATTAAACATTTAATTTTTTTTCATTAAATCATAAATTAGTCTTATTTGGTTTAATAAATTATTCATTATTAATAATTTTAAAATTAATTTTTAAATTTATAAAATTTAAAAATAATCCTGCAATATATCATCAATTGTTTATTTAAAAATTATTTTAAATCAATAATATAAGTTAAATGTACTGAAAATGTATTCGTATTTTTAATAATTTTTCAATTAATTTTAGGTAATTAATATTGAATACAAAATTAATATTTTGAAATATTTAAAATAACGCATATGCTTGTTGGGAAAGCCTTCTAACATTTAAAATAATATATGCTTGTAGAGGCAAAGACTCCTTGACCCATAGGAAGCTTTGGCCGCTCAGAAAAGAAAACTTATATAGATATATCATTTATTTTATGACCACCCTCTATTATTTTTTTAAAAAATTTAAGTAAAATATAATCATCAATATTTAAAAAGATTATTTTTTTATTAAGTACAAGCTCATTTATAAGATAAGAAAAATATTATTTATATATTTTTACTATTTGAAACTTCTTCATGTTTCATCATTCGGTTCATCTTTACTTAGACTATACCATATCGCGATCCCCTCATGTTCAAAACCGAACATGACCGTCATGTTCGTATAATTTTGAACATTCGCTTAAGCGAAAATTTACTCGCTTGAATGTTAAAAATTACACGAACATGACGGTCATGTTCGATTTTGAACATGAGAGGATCCTTGTCAGACTATACCTCATGCGTAAAAGGTGTGTATTTTTTTAAACTCGTTTAAGAAAGTATGAAAGTCACGTTCAACACTCGCACAAAAATGTTATATTCCCTTCTTCTTCTTCTTTTTTCTTGAATTCCATTTAGTTGGATTCTTTTCTTTCACTGATAGATAGATTGCATAAAAAATATTGAAACGTGACATTCAGGGAACACCAAGTACAACTTCAAATTTCGTAACATGTTAACAATTGGTACGATGATACTAATTAACATGCATGTAGTGAGGTTGTTATTTTTTGTCTCCTCCGCTAGCTCACAAAGAAAAATAGTTACTTGCCAAGCAAGCTCTTTAACATTTTTAAAATCAAATAAGTTTTTTATTTTAAAAAGTTGATTGCTTTATTGTTTCATTCGATTTAGTTTAATTTTTATTTAGCCTTTAAAATTTGAATAAATAATTTATATCTCTATATTATTATTATTATTATTATATTCTCTTTAATTATCATAATTTAAAAATACAATTATTAAATTTGACTCTTTAGAGTGTTGCCAAACTTAGCTTTTATAAATGGTTGTTGTGTGTTTTTTTTTATTTTGCTGCTTTATATTTTATATCAATATATTAATTATTCTAATTTATCTAATTATTAATTAAGTTTAATATATTAATTTTAAAAATATTTTAATTTTTTTTATTTGACTCCCTATAAAACATAAATCTAGATTCACCACTATAAAATTGTGCATTGTCGTGTGTGTGTGTATATATATATATATGGGTCTTTTTAAATAAAATTTTTTTAAATGTAATCCTGAAATATTGATATTGGTTATAATTTTATAAATAAATAAAGCATTGGTATAAAAGTTATCTTTAGCTTTTTTTTCAAATAATTTCTTGAATTTCTAAAGGAAAAGAAAAAATTATAGAGAGAGGCATAAAGAATAATCTTGGAGCAAGGTTTTTATAACTGATATTTTTTAAAGAAGACATATTTTGGAAAGGCCTAATAATTATACTATGTAATTGTCATAATTCAGCTTCTGTCAAAAAGGATTATTTCTTCTTTTAATTTAATACATAAAATATTGGTTGTTTCTATTCTTTTTACTATTATGACATAGCTATTATTTATCACCATAAAATAGTTGAAGAATTCTATTTTTCTATTTTCTTTATTTTTCTTAGAAAAATAATAAGTTAAAGCATTTATGCTATTGAACTTTTGTGAACTATTATAAGCTTTTCATAAACTAGTAAGTAAAATAAATTGGTTTTTTTCCAAATTTTTTGTATATTTTGGAGATCTAAAACTTTTATTTGTATATAAGAGTAGTATAGGAATTTTAACCTTGCCAAATTCTGAATGCTCCATTCTGCAAAATATTAAACAGTTAGTATGATATTAATTTATTTCAGATATTGAGACTTCTTGTAAAAGATTTAATTCTTTAATTCTAAGAGCTAGTAAAAATTTAAATTTTAATTCTTTTCATTCTATAACATTACTAATAATTCCTTCATTATCAATTCTAAATGGATATAGTAATGTTAAAAAGGGAGTTCCTAATATTATTTGGTTAGTCATATTTTTAACTAATACAAAGGAAGTTGTAAAGCATATTTTATTGTTGCAAATTTTTGCTTTTGATAATTTATATTGTATATTCATTTTAGATCCATTTGCTAAGGATAATTTTTCTGTTATTTTTTCATAATATTTTATAGAAATTAGTCCTTCTTGTATATAATTTATATTTGTTCCTGAATCTATTAGAGTTATCATATTAAATTTTTGTTCTTCTATTATAGTAGTAATTTTACACCACCATTTATGTGTTGTAATTAATGATAATAATTCTATATTGAACATTTCTGGCTCTTTTTTAGCATTGCTGGTTTGTCCTTTTAGTATGTTTTTCCCTTCTAATTCCAATATTTTAAACTCTAATGACACTTGATTTTGTTTTAATTCAATTATTTCTTTCTTTAAAATTTTAATTTCTTCTTGTAAATCTTTAATAGTTATACTAGTAATAGGTTGTTTAAATCTTTCATAAACTTCTTTCATTTATATTGGTTTTATTTCTAATAGTTTTTCTTCTTCTCTAGTAACTAACTCACTTAATTTTTTAATAAATTCATTTCGTAATGGACCATCTTCTAAATCTTCTATTAAAGTAATTATGGTTTGGGTCTAGTCTTTTTATAATACATTTATCTGTGGAATTATACAATCATTACAATTGCACAACCCTCGTCCTAAACAATAATTTTCTTTTTCTTCTTCAAAATTAATAGAAATATAATCTAATTGATAAATTTTATTTTCTATTGTATTTTTTTCATTAGAATATTCCTTATTAGATTTTTCTGGTTCAGAGTTTATTAGTATTGTTGCTAGTACTTGTTTTAATTCTTCATTTTATAAAAAGTTAATTTTCTTTTCTACTTTGCATTATTCTGCACGGTGTCCATACTTACCACATTTCAAACAAGTCTTTTAAATTGGTTATTATTAATTTTTCTATTATTTTTTGTTTATCTATATTATTGGTATTTTGCTTTTTATAATTATTTTTATATCTTTTTTGTCTAGAATTGGTATTGTTTTGAGATCTTTGTCTTTTATATTGTCTACTTGGAGCTTGTATGGCTTTCATTCCATATTGTTCACAAAAGGTTCTGAATTCTTTTCTATCTTCTAATTTTTCTTTTCTAATTTGATTTTGTAGTTTAATATCATTGCAAACTCTTAATCCTATATCTACTATAACATTATGAATTTGTCCAAATGTTAATGTTTCATAATTTATTTTACCTTCATATCTAATTTGTAAATTTTCTAGTACTTTTCTGCTAAACAAGGGTGGTAAAGCTGCTATTATTGAATCTTTTATTTTCAAAAGTTTCATATCTCTTAATAATATTAATACAGGAAGATCTACACCTATCATGTAGTTTGGTTTTACTGCTAATTGGATTAATCCTAAGTGAATAAAATTAAATCCATCTTTTTTATGCTTTTGTAATAATTGATCTTTTAATAATTGAATATCTTTTTTACTCAGTGTTCTTGGGTACAAATATTCTATTTTATATATCTCTTCACTATTACTATTAAAAGACCAAAATGATCTTTGTTGATAAACATCTTTCTCTTTTATTATAGGTATTGACCAGTTATGTAAGGATTTTTCTATATCATTTATTGTAATTTGTTGTGGAGTTGTTAAACCAGATGTTGAGGCTTCATCCTCATTCATTTCTTTCCTTACTAGCTTATTATTAAGTCCTAAGTTTAACTTACTTCTAGTTCTTAATAGATTTGCATTTTAAGATACAACCTTTTATGCGACAGGAATACCCTAGCTAA